TGATGTGTACTGACCACCAGGGGGCAGACACTCAATGCAGGAGCTTCTGAGCTATGGTGACTTGGCAGCTGTGGTTCTCAGGTGATGCAGAGAGGAGAGAGCCTGATTCTGTGGTGCGTCACCCAAGAACCACCCTCTCACAATCTGGTACCCCCTCAGGGGATGTCGAGAGACATCGATCAGCTGCCTCCTGCACATCTCCCACTAGGGATTGGCCTACAACCCAGGCATATGCCCCTGACTGGACCCGAACCCAGGACTCTTCAGTCTGCAGGCTGATGCTCTATCCACAGAACCAAACCAGCTAGGACCATACTTTTAACTTTGTTGGTGTAGAGCAGTTTTCACCAAGGGTTTTTACTTATCATCAGTGTCTGAACCCTAGATAAGCGTGTAAACCATCTGATGAAGCTGCTTTTGGGGGTGGCTTCAGTCTGATGTCTTCCAAATCATGCTTCTCCTTTCTATTTTTTTGTTAATCCTCACCTGAGGATTTTTTTTCCCAGTGATTTTTGGAGAGTGGAAGGGAGGGGAAGAGACAAAGAGAGAGAAATATCGATAGGAGAGAGACAACATCGATTGATCACCTCCTGCATGCATCCTGACTGGGGCTGGGGATCGAACTTGCAGCCCAAGTATGTGCCCTTGACTGGGAATTGAACCCATAATCCTTTGGTCCACAGGTGGATGCTCTAACCACTGAGCAACCAGGGCTCTCTTTTCTATTTTTAAGAAATTGCTTTTCCTTTAGGTCTCCTAACAGACTTCCAGGAAGATAGCAGCATTAAAACAGGTCCCAAATTCTTTCCACAAATCAACAGAAGTGACCACAGGAAAATGAGCAACACATGTACAATGTGGGCCTCAGAAGCCTCAATTTCTGTGAATCATGACGTTGATTAGGCCATACTGAAGCAAATCACCAATCAAAAGTTTTGTGACCTTCTGACAAACCAAGAAAATCCTGGCAGAAAACCTCTAATACCATCTAGTTTAAAAAAAGCAAGGACTGTGTCTGTGAGGTTTTTGTTCTTAATCTCATCACCTTTTTCATCCAGCCCCCCAGCGCCCCTCCCCTCTGACAGCTGTCTGTTTTCTGTATCTATGGTTCTGTTTCTATTTTATTTTTTTCATTAGATTCTACATATAAGTGAAATCATATGGTACTTGTCTTTCTCTGACTGGCTTATTTCACTTAGTACAGTACTCTTTAAAATGCCATTTTCATCGAAGATTTTATATATTACTAGAGGCCTGGTGCATGAAATTCATGCACTGAGAGGGGGTGGGGTCCCTCTGCCCAGCCTATGCCCTCACAGTCCAAGAGCCCTTGGGGGCTGTCCAACTGATGGCTTAGGCCTTAGGCCTGCTCCCCATTGGAAGTGGGCCTAAGCCAGGGGTGGGCAAACTTTTTGACTCGAGGGCCACAATGGGATCTTAAACTGGACCGGAGGGCCGGAACAAAAGCATGGATGGAGTGTTTGTGTGAACTAATATAAATTCAAGGTAAACATCATTACCTAAGAGGGTACGGTCTTTTTTTTCAAAAGTTTTATTTATTTCAAACGGGCCGGATCGCGGGCCTTAGTTTGCCCACGGCTGTCCTATACCCTAAGCACAAAACACAAAAATCCTTGCCTTCTGAGAAACCAAGATGGCAGGATAGGTAAACTCCTGAAATTGCTGCTTCGTACAACCACTTCAAAAATACAACTAATAGGCAAATTTCCCCCTCAAACTGGAGCTTGACTGGGAGTTCAACCAGGAGTTCAACTGGGAGTTTGACCAGGGGGCAGGGCCAGTTGGCCAACTGCCCACGGCCCCTCCCCCAGGCAGGCCTCACCCCCAACTGCCCCATCGGGGGCAGGCCCGGCAGGCCAACCTCCTGCAGCCCCTCCGTGGGCCAGCCTGGACCCCACCCGTGCACGAATTCATGTCCCGGGCCTCTAGTATATATATGTAAGGACTGGAAGTAGGGGCAAATCAGTGAAAATGACTGGGATGTGAACCTCTCATAAGTTGAGAGCAGCCTGAGTAACTACCATTTTATGTAAGCCTTCAAGTCTAGTTTTTAAAGAAAATAATGCCAAATTAGAAATGTCAAAATTGCCAGAGTTTTAAAAAATCCCATTTATTAGATTAAGCTGTATGATGAGCATTTTCCACCACGTTAATCTGGCTCTGTGGCTGGAGTAGGCAATTCATTTGAGGGTAATGTCAAAATCCTAAATTTGAGCCCTTTTGTGAATGTGAGACACAGGCCAGATGGCTCTCCTGACACCTTAAACCCCACCCCTGAGCGAGGCCCTGACTAGAATGACTCCATTTGCTCCTATTTCGCTACTTCAGATCAACAGAAGTTGGCGCAGGCTGATCACTCTCAGAGGGCAAGTCAGTGTCTCTGATTGTGGTTTTTCAATCAACAATGGTGGTCCCCACCCGAGATGAGTCCTCTTGAATGAGCCAGCAGGGCTTGTTTTAATGTTGTGTATCTAATGCCCCCCCCACACCACACCCCCACACAACTGGTGAGAATATATGTATCAACCACGTACCTGAAGTAGAGGCCAAAGAGCACATGAGAAAAGCCTTTTTTTTAAAAAAAAAATTGTTTTATCATTTACTATGTTTTTTCAACCTCATTTTTTTAAATCCTCACCCAAGGGTAATTTTCCATTAATTTTTTTTTTTTTTTACAGAGAGTGGAAGAGAGAGGGAAAGACAGAAATATCAATGTGAGAGAAACATCAATTGGTTGCCTCCTACTCGCCCTGGAGCCTGTAACCGAGGTATGTGCCCTTGACCAGAATCAAACCCAGGACCCTTCAGTCGGCAGGCCGATGCTCCATCCACTGAGCCAAACTGGCTATGGCAGAAAAGCCATCTTGAGGTGAACTCCTGCTGGGGTTGCCCAGGACCCTGGCTCCCTCCCCACTACCTCATCCTGCTGATCACAGCCCCAGTATATAAACTTCCACCTTCCAGCAGCCCAGTGTGAGCTCAGCGAGGGGGCGACAAGCAGTACACAGTGAACGCCTATAAGCACTGCCCCACTCTTCCTGGAGGGGAAGAGATGGCAGGTCAGGATGTACCCTTCTTGATCCCATGGTGAATAAATAGATACACTGTGAATTGATTGCAGGTAAATAAAACCCCAAACCAAAACAGAGCCTGGAAAAACAACTTGCAAAATAATAGGAAAAAAACTACCTCATGTAAGGCATGGAGGAAGGACAAAGAGTTCAAAGTGATTTTTGAAAGAGGAAATACAGGTATAAACAAAAACATACTAGAAAGCAAAATAAAAACTACAGTAGACTTAATAAAGCCTTGAGTCTTTTCCAGGAGAAAACAAAATGTATTAAAAATCAGACAAACATTTTGCAAGGGTAATTAAGGAATTCTGTTCCTTAAATGCTTGAAAGAAATTTACCTGCTAAACCGTCTGAGCCAGGCCTCCGACAACATCCAGTTTTTCCTGCTGCTACTGATTTACTGCTGTTTTCTATGCCACTGGCATATTTTAGGGTTTATTTCCCTGTAAAACCATCCATGCCATTCATTAAAATTCTCATTTTTATGGCAGACTTTGTCTTTATGATGATCGCAAACACCCAGCATAATATAGCAATGAAATAACAAATCATATTTCCTACCTTGGTTTTCTGAGGAACGCTGATAGGCCAAATGTTATGAGGTGCGTTTAAAATTAAAAAGGTGTCCTTTACTCAAATCAGTTTGGGAAGTGCTGAATGAAACAAAGTTAAATAGTTTTTATTCTTTAAAAAAAATAATACTGGTCAATATTTACTGCACCAGGGCTCTTGAAGAGGGGCTGTAGTACACGGCGTGTTGCAAACTTATTTGATCATCTCCCGGAGGAATGTGTTTTCAAAAATGCAATTTTGAATCGCTGTAGCAAACCTCGTCTGGTTAAAATGAAAACCCAGACAAGAATGCCCCTGCCACTTTTATTACTTGGACTGTTCTAGAAGTGTTTACCCCATGCAGTCAGAAACTATATTAAATTTGAAAAGGAACACATATTATTCTAACTTATCATTGATATGACTGCTTACTAGGAAAAACTCAGGGATCAAATGAATATCTCTGAAATGAATAGATTTCAGGAAATTGCCAATTTAAAATTATTCTATGGAAGTATTCTTACCCTATGTAGCAAAAATGCCCATATAGGCAACAAATTGAATAAGAACTCCCATTCGCATTATTCTTTCCTGTGTGTATGTGTTACCTAGGAATACATTTATCATAGATTATACAGGACTTTAATAAATGAAAAGCCCCTAAAGGATATAAATTTTTTTTTAATGAGACAAAGTATCATGTTCCTGGAAAGCACTGCAATTCTATAATTCTCACTATTGTATCAACTTAAGACAGTCCCAACCAAATTCCCAATTTATTCTTGGGGGAAACCAATTAACTGCAAAGTTCATGTGGTACAAATAAATGTCAGAATCGTCCAAAATTGTGAAAAATAGCCCAGCGGGTGTGGCTCAGTGGTTGAGCATCGACCATGAACCAGGTCATGGTTGGATTCTCAGGCAGGGCACATGCCCAGGTTGTGGGCTTGATCCCAGTAGGAGGCATAGAGAAGGAAGCTTCTCTTGTCACTGATGTTTCTATCTCTCCCTCTCCCTTCCTCTCTGAAAGCAATAAAAATGTATTTTTACAAAAATTGTGAAAAACCCAAAATAAAGTGTGTGTGTATATATATGTATGTATATTTCAAATGGACGGTGCTCAAGAGATAAATACTAGCTAACAACTGGCTAATCTTTTGGGAAAGAAAAAAAAAATTAAATCCCTAAACCTGTATATCAAAATCATTGCAGAAGAGAAAAGGAGTATTTTTTTTTTTTTTAGTTAAGACCATTAAAATTAGAGAAATATAGGATAAGATTTATAAAATCTTGGGGTGGAGCAATGCTACTAAACATTATCCTAGGGCCAGAAGGCAAAAAGGAAACCATTTATCCATTTTTTATTATTTTTTATTTTTTTTAGTCATTTTAATGCTTTTTTCCCTGTGCATAAGAGAAATAACTGATAGAGTCAAAAGATACAGTATCCTTTACACATCGCAGTTAAAAGTAATGCAAACATCACATGACATTTTCAGTGAAAGTTACATTTCCAATTACAAATCAAAATGTGTATTATTAGGGTCTCTTTATGAGAGAAGCTGAGAAGGAAATCTTAGGTCAAAAGCACTTTCCTGGCATTACTACACTGATCCTTCAGGCCGCACAAAGATTAAGGTCATATACAGTCAATCAGCAAATGTTGACACAATTTCACACAGTAAGTTTTCTGTACAATTAAAGGTATACTTAGAAATACCAGGATAAACATTTCTACTATATTTTAACTGAACTTGCCTAGCCAACATTTTCACTGAGAAGTTGATCAAAGATGCTGTAAGATTCTACAAAATTGTTACATACCTAGCTCCAGAAATACTTATATTCTTTCTCACTGTGATTACACATATTATGCTCAGAAACTCTGTTGTAACATTTCTAGGTGTACAGTTCCAATTGTGCTTACTGTACTGTATACAAATATAGCAAAAAATCAAAGAATGATATAAACCTTACAGCATTTTGCTAGCAAAAATACATGCCAAAGTCACAATAAGCAATATTGTACCACAAATTAGAGAGCTTCAGATAATTTGCTTCTTGTTTTAATATTTCCCATTCTACATTAAATTACTATCATAGGCTAATGTTTAAAATGCAAACAAATTGGACATCTGAAGAACAAAACTTGTTCACCCAACTGTGAAGTTTGATACCTGTTTCCAAAAATCACAATAAATGCAGAATAAAGAGAAGTGTCTGCATGCAACACTTTTGAGAAAAACAGTAAAACAGTATTGATTCCCACCATTCAAAACAGACAAGGAAGGAAATGGAAGGAGAGAGGGAGGGAGGGAGAGGGGAGGGAGCAGCGAGGAAAGGAAGGAAGGAAGGAGGGAGGCAGGTATGGACTCCACCTTAAAATCTATCATTAGATTTATAACTAGACAGATTGAAAAGAATCAAAATGAAAGTAAAGCATGATTTGTGTGTGTTTAAAGATTTAAGAGCCATTATCAAAAATAAGATACATTTTTCCAAGGTACAGAAATGTAATTAGGATGGCTGGGAGCCCAGCAGCCGCTCAATGGCTGCATTGATGTCGCCTCCTGTTGCTATTAGAGCCTGCAAGTTAGCTTCGCGGTTTAAGAAGCCCATGGCGTTGAGCTGTTCCAGTTGTTGCTGAAATCTGACTTCTGGAATTGGCAGCTGAGGAGGGCTTCCTCCAGCCAGAGCCTGCACCATTTGCTGAATGAACTGCTGGCTGGGTCCAGATTCTGATGTTGGGCTCGTGGTTTCACTGGATGCAGAGCTAGGCACGGTGGGCCCAGGGGTGCTGCCAGAACCAGTGGAGCCAGGAGGACCCGCAGGGCCAGTGGGTCCTATGGGCCCAATCGGCCCAATGGGGGTAAACGGCACAATGGGGCCGATGGGACCTATGGGTGTGACTGGGCCTACAGGGCCTATAGCGGTTCCCAGCACCCCCACCCCCACACCTGGAGTGAAGCTGGGAATGAGGCCGGGCGCTTCAGAAGCTAATGTCTGTAGCCCCTGCTGGATCTGCATTAGCGCCTGCATGGCTCTCGGGTTTGTCATGGCTGACAGCGTGTCCGGACTCTGCATCTGCTGCAGGAAAGAAGGGACCTGCGGACGGACCTGCTCCTGTAGCTGAGGGTTTCCCGAGAACACGGGGTTGTTCAGCATCATCTGTGCAGCCAAATCCGGATTCTGGGTCAGCGACTGCATCATGCTTCTCATGTAGGGCGCAGACAGCATATTCTGGATCAGCTGGGGGTTTTCAGTTATCTGTTGCAGCAGGCTCTGCATGCCCGGGGTGCTGAAGACGCTGGCGACATAATTGGCCGCGGCCATAGTGTTCCCGGGATTATTGGAGCTCCCGCTGGACCCGCTGCCGCTGCTCGAGGTGGTGCCGGTGGTTGCAGAACTGTGAGTAGCCGACGGTGGTGCCCACGGGTTGGGCAGCGGATCTCGATTTTCGGTGCGGGAAGGCTGCGAACCTTCGCCGGTGGAGGAACTGCTCCCCACGGAGGCAAACGGATTACCCCCAAACTGCTCTTGTGCAGCATTCAGCATCGGCTCTTGAATGTCAGTGTACATGCGCCGTAGGGCATTGTAGCCCCCTGGGATGCTTTCGAGATTGCTCAGGGCCAGGTCTTGATTTCTCATCATCTCCTGCATCATGGCTGGATTCCTGGCGATTTCGAGGGTCTGCCTCATTATATCTGGGTTGTTGAGCAGGTGACTGATTTCTGGGTTTCTCTGAATCAATTGTTGCATCTGTGGATTGGCCATGATGAGCTGCCTCATCAGATCGGGATTCGAAAGCATGCTCTGAACAAAGGGATTTTCCATGATTTGGAGCATCATCTCAGGGCTGGACAGGAGCTGCTGCTGCATCTGGTTCTGCAGCTCGGTGAAGCTGGTCGAGGTCAAACCCAGGCTGCTAAGGCTCGCAAGTCCTCCCAGGCTCCCCAACCCAAACGGGTTGCTATTTGTGGAAATAGGTGTGGAGTTACTCCTGGGAGTCGACGCGGTGGTGGTAGTAGTAGTCGTTCCCGCGGTCGTGCTGGGCTGTGTGGTCTGGCCCTGAGGTCGGTTCTGGCTTTTGATGACAAGGTGAACGGTCAGTCCATCATGGATGCCGTGCTGGCTCAAGGTATCTTGATCTTTTAGGATTTTTCCGGCGAAGATCAGCACCAGCTGATCCGTTTGGGATTTGAAGCGTTTCGAGATCGCTTCCTTGAACTGCTGCACCGAGCTATTCTCGGGCACCGCGAACTCCTCTTTCTCTTTGGGGGTCTTCACGGTGACTTTGATGATTTTGGGCTCGGCCGGGGGAGAGGCAGAGCCTT